ATCCGACCCCAGCTGCCGTAGGTGTCCCTGATAGTGAAGTCCTGCTAAGCACAACCTGTCCAGGCCCCTCAGGGAAGCTCCCAGCTGCAGGCAACCTTAGCAAGCAGCTCAGCTCTTGAGTGGAGATCAGCTCTTTGGTGAATTCAGCCCTTTAATGATTTCCGCTCTTTGATTGCTAAGTGCCTCGGCAGATGTGGGGAGAGAGAGGAGAAGCCTGTGTGAGATTCCACAGAGGTGTGGATCTTTATTGGCAGCTCCTGTGAAGGGTTTCAGTGACAGCTCTTCTGCCAAACTGGGCAGAAATGGGGGTTTATATAGAGTACAGGGGTTTTGGGAAATGTTCCAATAGTAAGGGTTGAGGTGAATATGACCTATGGTCTTACAGAGAGATAACGAGGGTCCAAATGCAGAAGAGGGGCTTCTTTGGTCCAGTCATCATGATTAGGCATTTCTTTATTTTACAGAGCCACAGGATCACAGAATAATGAGGTTGGAAGAGCCTCTAAGATCATCAAGTCCAACCTGTGCCCTAACAACTCAACTAGACCATAGCACCAAGTGCCATGTCCAGTCTTTTTTTAAACACATCCAGAGATGGTGACTCTTCCACCTCTCTGGGGAGACAATTCCAGTGCTTTATTATTCCTTTGGTGAAAATTTTTTTCCTAATGTCCAACCTAAACCTTCCCTGACATAGCTTGAGACTGTTCTCTTGTTCTGTCAGTCACTTGTTTAGGCAAGTGACTGCCACAGAAGCCTTGCAGGCCCTGTGGCTGCTACAAAAGGTGACTGGGGAGAAACAAGGAAAGAGAGTAGATGGGAAGTGGTATAAAACAGACTGGTTTGCTGGTCACTACACTTGTCTGAACACACCCTGTGCCTGATCAGTGAAGATGTTCCGATCCTTATTTAATCTTTCATTAAATACAGTGGGTGGTGGTCTTTGCCACCGTGACAAGAACAGTGAGCATCCTGAAAAACAGAAACTGTGAGGGAGAGCAAAGAAGGTGAGGGACTCAGCTCCAGCAGATGGACTGAGACCTCAAGTCACAGGCACACGTGCGTGGCACCACTTGCCATGAGGCAGAAGAGGCTCTGTATCTTCTGCCAACCCATTGTGTGCAGGTGTGGGGTGCACTTTGCTGGCAAACCTCAAGTTGTACCCATCAGCAAGCAGAAAGTGCTGGGTTGGAGCAGAGGTAGCAAGTAGGCAGAGGAGCAGTGCTGGTACCTTGAGGGGACCTGTGATGGTATGGGACCTGTGAGATGAGCCTGTGAGTTCTGGATCTGTTAACTGTACAAAATGGTGAGTAGGAGACTTGTGATGCCTGCAAAAGGATTCAGGATCCAGGTGGGAGTGGTGGATAGACAGAGGGGTGAGCCATGCCAGTACATGCTGATTGTGTGCAGCAAGGCAGAGATGCTACAAAGACCTCTAATGCACTACATTTTACCACATACAGAACAGACATAAACACCTCCAGTTGTACAGCACACTTACTCTGCATTTAAAAAAAATAATCAGAACTAAGAACTGCATTAAGAAATGCAGTTGCCAAACTGCAAACATGAAGCACTTTTAAACAAATTTGAGTTTTAATGAAATTCAGGTGCAAGAAATTCCATGTAAAGCTTGAACACATTAGTAGAGAAATCAGACTAGACTAAACAGATAAATCCAATAAAGGACTGGGCATTAGAATAATATTCAGCTTCTTTTTAGCAGCTGCCACTGAAATTTTAAAAAGGTGTTTTTTTTCTTTTTTACAATTTTCAGGATGCAAACCAATCTCTGTACTGTACTTCATTGTTGGCATCCTAATTCCTGGACAATTTATTGTATATTTATTCACAGTGGTACACCTAAACACTTTCTGGATTATCAGTTTACATTCCTGCTGCCTAGGTGATGAACTGTTGAGACAGTATTTGCCAGCTCTTCTTCAAACTTCTCTACTTGCCTTCTTTCCCTTATAGCTATTCAGTTCTTGGGCTCAAAAACAAAGCTGTTTTCAGAATTCTGGAACACAACTGATTTTCCTCAAATATGAGTCTTACCATGGAAAACAACTCCAACATTACAGCTTTACCTCCCAAACAGACAATGGACAAGTATACACACAACAATAAATAAATAAACAATGCAGTGAATTCTGCTGGGCATAGTTTCCATACATCCAGAGAATTTAGGCATCAAGCTTGAAAAAGCTTGAACAAATTTGAAGAGGCTCTTCTGTCAGCCCATGATCCTTTTGCAAAATACGAATGCATCCTAGGCAATGTTTGGTGATTTCTATTGCAAAGACTCGATATTTTCTTGTATCACTGTTAATATGATCAAACTTCACCAGAGTAACACTGGCCACAACATATTCTCTTCTAGAGAGTATGTTCCTTTGCCGAGTATTATTTTGATTAATACATTCTAGTTCCATAGGTAGCAGTGCAAGCTAACAGCACTGCAAAAAAACCAAGTAGCACTGTGTGGCATTTAAGAAGCTGGCACTCATGTTGTAGGAAAAGCAGAGAAGCCCAAGTATGGGATGTCTATGTAGTGATGAAGTTCCCAGCATGGCTGGTGTGTTTGCACAGCAGCAAAGTGCTTGTAAACATTCAGTCCCCAAGACAGAGAGAGGGCTGCTGTACTTGTGTTGCACATCTTTTTGCCTTCCATTCCAGGGCAGGAGACTGATAGCCAAGGTTCTTGTTGCTTATAGCATCTCAGCCCCAGTACTTTTAAAGGCCTTTGTCCATTTAATCCACTTAGGTGTGAGTTTATATCCTTGAAGCTGTACTGGTATCAGAGAACAGCCTTGCCTGGTACCAAGCTCTGGGATGGGCCAAGTTGAGTTTATACTTATAACATTCCACTGCATTAAAATCAGAACATGGAATGCATTTCCTAGAATGACCCAAAAAGTCAGGTGGAAAATCACAATAATATAATGTGTGACTGCATGCAACTGCATATCTGCTGCAACGCAACTTGAAAAGACAGTGTCTTATTTTATTCTACTGCTAACCTGAACATAATCCAAATATCTGATTACTACAATTTCTTTAGAAAAGGCCACCTCCATACAGACGATACCAACTTTTCAGCGGCAGGTATGAGGCCACGAGGAGGAGCTCTGGTTCCAAATCCCCTCTAGCAGAGAACTGAAAACATTTCTTAGCCAACATCTAAGTTGGCTCATATTCAAGCTCAAATCTCAGAACTACCTTAGAGCAAAAAAGCTCTGTTCCATTTTTTCTTGGGACTGCAGAAGCAGCTCCTCCACTGGGCGTCCACGTGTGGAAAGCCGGACCTCTGATCTTCTGCTGGTACTACCCAGCTGCTACTGGCTGGGGGAGCAGGGAGGACAATCAGCAGTGACAGTCCTGGTCTGGTAGGAACCACTAGCTTAGTTCCCAGATATCAACCCAAGGCCTTGAGACCCTCAAAAACATCTTTATTTGATTACTTTTCAGAAAGACTCCCAGGATGCAGCCTCTGTAGGCACACTATCCATCACAGTTTAAGTACATTTCTGTTTCTCTGACAGTCAGGCACTTAGAAACAGGCTACAAAATGAGTTACATCACCAGAACTGAATTATCCACAGTGTTACTTCAGGTCTCTGTTATTTCAGAGCATTTTATAACCACTCTTTCCTCAGGCCAGCCTAAGAAAAACATTGATGGCTGTTTCACTCAAGCCAGTTTCCCCCACAGAGATGAGGTTCATGAGCCACCATGGAGGAGGAAAAAAAGAAAAGTCAGCCTGGGGCAGTTTTACAGCAGCCTTGTAATGGAGAAAATAAATGAAAACTATGCTTCAACCACTTTCTCCTAGTGCTTGCAGTGCTTTTTGTGACAAGGAATGAGATGAACTCCTAAGGTCCCATCCAAACTAAACCAAACCAACCCAAACCATTCTATGATCCTTTGTGCTCAGTCTGTCAGGCCTGAAGTGCATTTTTGTAAGTAACCTACACTTCATACAATCTGCTCCCTTCAGGTGACATTCAGGTCAAGCAAAATAAGCTCCAGCCCCAACAGGTCTATGACCAGTGAAAGACCAACCAGAGAGAGAGGGAGACAGGGGAGCCTGGCTGCTGTGAAAAGACAAGGAAGCCAAGAATGAATTCAGGTACTCAAAGTCTTGCAGTATTGTGTGTAAGAAGAAATAGACAATGAGATGGTGCTGACACATTTAATTCCTCACAATGCTGCTGCTAACTGTGACACTTAGCCTCTCCTTTCTTTGCTTTCCTCAGTAAATGGAGAAAACAGAGCCTGTGCTCAGGCTCAGCCCTTTTGGAAATTGATTGAAATTTGAGATCAAGAGATGAAAAGCCTGTTAGGAAAGCTGGAATCTTCGTTGTTCCTCCTCTGACATTCTGTAGAAGGCTGTGAAAAAGAACTAACTTTTTACAATGGCAATGGAAAAAGCAGCGAAGTATGTGTAAGGGCATAGGAAAGGAAACCTGAAGGTTTGTTGTCTCACTGGGGCAGATGATTACTGTCTTTCCAAGTCACTAAGTTAAAAGTTACTCCACACAGTGGCTCTAAGTTCACCCGTGGGTGAAACCTATATCTTCCCAGGCAATGAAACCCTACTAAGAGATGGGGGTGAAATATTGCTCACAAATTAAGTGTGATCACAAGAGAATGTCCTGTACAAATACAGAAAATCCATCACCAGTTCCAAGCTTCTTTATATTCAACAGTCAACAACACATCTACTTCACATAAACAGCAAAGGACTTAAAAAAATTTGGAAAGTCTGAGCAATGAACTCAGTAGAAAACTTGAAAGGATTTTCTATAATTAAATCTTAATTGTGCAAATCACCTCTTGAGAACTTATTTTGGAAGGCTCCAACATTACGATTTTTGGAGTTCCCACAGAATTGTTTTTTTTTTTCTTAAATGTACATTAATTTGCCCTTATGAGACCTCTGGCCACTCTGTTCTGGGGGACCCACCTTAAATAGCACCAAACAGACAGCAGACATATTCTGTTCACAAGTGTTCACTGTTTTATTCTACTGTAGGTGTTGCTATGAACCTTTATATGTAATCTGGAGCCTTAACAAGCAAGAATTAAAAGCATTACCAGTAGACACATAAAATACCAACTGTTTTTCCCAGCTGTGCTCAGATGATAAAAAATATTCAGTTCTAATAAACAAGTCAGTGGTGTGTAAATCTTTCTACAAGGCACTGAAGGTGAAAAATATGTACTTTAGTTGGGCACAAACAGCTAAACAACAGCTATGTTATAGCGGCATTATAATCTCCCCAAAGCATTATGGGATAACATGAAATCATTCTTCTGCAAGAGAAGGATAAATAACACTTTCATTAAAATATCTTCTCCTGTATTGGGAAAGTCAAACCAGTTAATAGAGTTAATGATCCGGACTCAGGAAAAGGAGGCAGTTTAAGAGCACCCCAAATAACAGGTGTCCCACTCATAGTCTTCTATTTCTTTTTTTGCATAAGTTTCTTTTCTTTTTATTTCTAAGGCAAGAGTCTTGCAGCTTGGAGCCTCCTGTGTCTCAGTGAAGCATTATCTTATGCAGAGTCCAAGTCAGTAGTGGAAGGAAGAGAGAATGGGACAGCTGGTGAGCACTGCTGGTGTCTGCACGAGTGTGACTGGACCATCCGTGGCCCCGGGGCTGGGGCTCGACCGTGATGTAGCCATTAATGATGCGGATCCGCGGAGGAGGGTCGGTAGCACTGCAAGGCAAGAGAAGAACATCAGTCCTGGCCCAGCCCGCAGCTGCCCAGCAGCCACAGGGCAGGAGCTGGTCAGCCTCTGTGACCCGCTGCCAGTGTTCTGGGTCCATGCAAATGGCCTCTTGCCGAAGCCCACCCTCGGTCGAGGGTGGCTCCATGTGGTGGAAAAATCTCTCCTCCGACCCGTGCTTCCAAAGAAAGCTCAGCAGTCTCTGTTGTTCGGTCTCAAGGCAGTTTATTGCAAGTTATCTAAAAGATTTCCTTCTGGAGCTGCTGTGGTTTTCTCAGCAGCTCAGGCAGAGGCACACACACACCCTGACATCCTCTCTGACTCCCGACTGCTTCTTCTCTCCCCACCCAGGGCTGCTGCTGTCTTTTATATGGTACATTACGTGTTACATGTTTATAGTTTTTCCCCAATGCCTATTACCTATATTAAATGGTGCTTTTCTGTTTTTTATATGGTACATTACGTGTTACATGTTTACAGTTTTTCCCCAATGCCTATTACCTATAATTAATGGTGCTTTTCTACTCTAAACCAATCTGTGAGTGCCAACATCGCCAAGAACGTGGAGGTAAGGAAGGAGAAAGAGGGAGGACAGGGCTGGCCCAAATTCCTCCATCTTAAAACATCTGACCCCCATGTACAAAATCAAAACCCCCCTGTACAGCACCCCAAAGTTCTTCCCTTTACTTAGTGACTACTTCTACTATAACATCTAAACTTTTGTGACTTCTTGTTCTTCCTGCAAGGTTGGTAAATCACTCCATGGTACAAATCCAAAATCACAGCTGTTTCCAGCTGCCTGCCAGCGTCTCAAATGCTTCTGACCTGGGCCCAGAACATCCAAAAATGTCTGAGGGACATTTTGAGTTCCGACAGTCTCTCAAACAAGTTACACACTGTCCCAAAGTCTGTGCCTCCTATATGGCAGAGTGCTCTCTTGTCCCCTCCTCACACCAGTGGACAGTTCCCACACCAGCCCACAAGGATGAGGTGCTACCCAGCCAAACTGTGAAGCAGACTTGAGGGGTAACAGTGAAGAGACTGAGGAGGGTGATGAGAGCAGCAAAATACCAGCCCTGTCTCAAGTCTTCCCAGCCTGCTCATTGCTCCCACACAGTCGGTCAGGTGGGTAAGATGATCATATCCCTTAGCCCTTTCAGCTAAAATAGATAAGAACAAAACAGGTGTTGTTGCAGAAGAGTGTCACTGCAGGAGCTCTTGCTGAGCCCAGCTGGAGTGAGACACCTGTTTTCTGAGTACATTTTCCTCAGCCGTGTTTCATGCACCTTAGTGCAGACCCACCTTGTTTCTATACCATATGATCTCTTCCACAGGTCAGGAATTACAAAGATTTACATGACATACTTCAAGCAGAAGAAGAAACACATCCTAGATCACCATATTCCAGAGTAATTCCCAGTGGTAGAGAGTAATCTGACATGATGATGAACAAGGACAGCATTAGAGCATACATGAGCTGCACTCTCATGATGGCAATACATGATGGAGGAGAGAAATTTGTATGCTCCATGCTAATGCCAACTGACCTGAACTGGGGGAGATCACACACCACAGCAGGCCAAGAGTCAAAAGGGTCAGATACTACACAGGTAGTTGTACTCTTTGGCAATGAAATGAAATGAATGCTTGGCACCACAGCTGTGTGACTAACATACCCCCAACACCACCTGGTCCTGTGGAGAATCTGAAGACAAAACTAAAAGAAAGTTCACCTGGCAAATACAAAAAATGAGTAATTTCTTCTGCACCCAATCCCCAGATGCTGTACACCATTCTTGTCATATTTCAATCCACTAAGCAAAAATGCTTTGGGAAATTAGAGGCAATTACTATTCTTTTTTAAAACACTTCACTCTTCCTTACCCAAGGGGCTCCCCAGAAGATCTGAACAATAGCCAGAGAGAGAAGCCAGCTGGCAGCACATCAAGGAAATACAGCCAGCAGCTGATGCACACAGGGGCACGAACCAAGGCCATTCTGACAAGTCCACTACAACACTATTAAATCACTTGAGCTACACCTTTCACATTTTGATTCTCACAGGAGGAATCACAGAATTATGTAGCTTGGAAAAGACCTTTAAGGTCATCAAGCCCATTTGTAAACCTGAAAGCTGTGAGTGGCCCATTGGTAAGAAACCCAACAGCTTTACCTGTATCTGCACACCCTGAGGGATGTTTAGAGCGAGGCAGAGCCCCCAGACAGCCTGGGTTTTGCAGAAGCCCAGCACACAGGTGGGGTTCCTGCCTGAGGGGCAGCAGCCTCCCTTTGGCACTGCAGGGACAGCACTCTCCCAGGCATCCTTTGTCTTTTCCAGCACTGCCATGCAGCTTCTCCATCTCCAGACATTTAAGCTCTTCTCTGCTTTTGGGCTTGAGGAACTGTGAGCATATGGCAGTCCTCTCTTTCATGGAAGGCTGGGTCCAGTCGCCCCTACAAAGCATTTGTCATCTAACACCACAGTAAGTTTCTAGCGCAAATAATGACTTAAATAGGAGGGGAAGAAAGGAAACATAAAAAGAAGAAAAGAAAAGAAGCACTTCCATATTTATGCAGAAATTTCCTAGGTTGCCATCGTTTGCTTTGCTTTTGCCTCACACTTTTTTGCCTGGCAGTACTTAAAATCTAGTATGCAGCCCTAATATGCCTTCAATTTGGTCACAGTAGCACATCTTCCCACCCTTCCTCTTCTTCTGAAGGCTTGATAATGCAAGTGCACAGGTGTCACTGCCCACTGACTTCCCTGAAGCTTTGCTTTGTGGAAGAAACTGCGTGTGAAACACTGAACATGGCACTGTGGAGGCATGGTGGGAGATTGAGACAGACATTCCTTAGCATTTCAACTAAACAAACTACCGATAGAAACTCCAAAAATCCATTCACAATCAGCTAGTATCAACCACATTAATAGAAACTAAATTATACACTAAGAGACAAAATGAAGTGTAATCAGTATGGGATTTCTCATGTTGATGAATCTTTAACTGTGTGTAGGTCTGTCAGAGGATATGTCACATGAGCATTTATCTCCCAAATACTTAATATTAAGGCTGAAGGAAGGAGCAAGGAAGGGAAATTGGTCTAAAAGATCTGACAGTGGCTGAATGCCTCAAAGAGAACGGGTGCTGCAGTCACTTGTGGCCAGCCTGAGCCGTGTATCATTCATAGTAGTGGTACAATTAGGATCCAGGGACATGATAGGAAAGGCATAGGAGAACCCTGCTGTACTCAGTAACCTGGGGAGCAGGAAGAAGTATGCTCCAAGGGGGGACAAAACCAAATAATGTACAGGCTTTTGTTGCAAGAGCTGTCAGACTTTTCTCTATTACCCCAACCTGTCTGGTTGTTTATTGTACCACAAAAATGTAATGCCTTCAAGATGAGTATGGCAGAGATATAGACGCACTAAGTACAAATGAAAGCAGATTTGGGCATGTGTGTTATCTGACAGGAGGAAAACATTAAGGTGTACATTCAGTCACAGGCCCAAGTACAGGAAATGAGAAAAATTGGCTTTTTTTCTTTCTTTTTTTTTTTTTTTTTTTCTGCATGTTGCTGTAGTTCTGGTAGGTAAGTAAGCTTTTCTAGATGAAAAGTAAGGGCTATGTGTGAACGTCTGTCCCTCAACACACTGATTTTTTTTAATATAAACTCTGCCATCCATTAGGCTGTCATGCTTTTTCAGACTAAAATAATACAGAGACTGAAAATGCTGCATGAATATTGCCCAAGTGCAAGGAGAACATATGCCAGGAATGAGTTTCCTCATATGCAGCAGCTTTTGGTTAAAGGTCTTTGATCTGTACCATCTACCACTGGACCCAGCCATCCAAGAAAGAGAGGACTGCCATATGCTCACAGTTCCTCAAGCCCAAATGCAGAATGATCTAGACAAGACTTCCACTTGTTTTATGCCTAGTTTTCCACAAATCTAACTATGCAAAGAAAAGAAATTAAAGCTTCCTTTTGCCACTAAAAGCACAAGAAACCTCATGCAAATACTTCAGAAGAATCACAGCAGTGGAGAAAGTCAGATCCTGTCCACAGGATATATCTACCCCTGCAGAAGTTTGAAGGTCTGTATTAAACCATCCAAGTTAAAGTCCAGTTTGCATGACAAGCCATCCTCCCAGTCCCCAGCCATTAACTACCTTTCTTCAAGGCGAACCCAGAGGTCATTAAATTGTCGCAGTTTTTGCTTCTTCTGCTGCTTTTTCTTCTTCTTTTTGTACTTCCTGTCCACTTTCATGAGCACATCAATGCTGTCAGGGAATAGCAGGTGAGGCAGGAACTCTTCCTCCTCCTCTTCCTCCTCTTTCTGGGGGTGCAGTGGGAGCTCATGGGACATGACATAGGGACTGTGTGGTGATGAAAAGGTTAACAGGGTTTTGGGAGATTTTCGGCTGGAAGAAAGAGAGAACACAGGTAACATTTAAAAGGGCTTTGAGGCAAAATCCTGTATCAAGATGCATACATATATACTAGATGTTTCTCCCTGGATGCTCATTTCTCTGCCACGTATTCCTGCACCCTCTTTCTTAAGTCAGTATTGATTTTATCATCAAAATAGTGCTCTTTAGCAAAAAAAAGTCATTGGAAAAGAGGCAGTCTGTGTCGGAGGAAAAAATGCAGCCTACATAAAGGTGGAGTAATTCTTGGTAATAAGCTTGCCTATCTAGAAAGAGACAAAAATGGAATCACTTCTAAGTCAGGGTCAAACCACACTTCTCTAGTCTGATGTGCTGCAGAACACAGACCAGATTATTCCTTTCAACATTCCTGCCCAGAGCAAACTAACCTGGGGGACAAGGGGAAGGGGCAAACAAAACAACTAAAGCATACCAGCTGATGAAACCAGATCTGGATCAGCACCTTTCACTGGTGGAGAAGGTAAGAAACAAGCTAGCCCACAGACTATGATCACGGCCACAGAAACACACCTTGAAAATTGCCACCTTTGAAGGAAGAGGCTTAGCATGCCATTAACAGTAACCTGGCTGCATGCTGGACCCAGAGAAGGATGAGGTTCTCAATGATTCTATATCTCAGTGTTCAATGGCAAGTGTTCCAGCCAAGCTGTCCAAGTCAGGAAAGGCAAATGGGAGTATGAAGGCCCTAAGCACAATGTAGGAAAGAATCAGGTTCGAGACAGTCTGAGGAGCCTGAATGTGCATAAATGCATGGGGTCTGATGAGATTCATCCGTGGGTCCTAAGGAAGCTAGCAGATAAGTTGCTAAGCCACTATTAATCATTTTTGAAAACTTGTGGCACTCAGGTAAAATTCCCAACACCTGGAAAAAGGGAAATATAACCCTCACTTTTAAAAAGGAGAAAGTAGACGTCTCACCTGAAAAATTCTCCTGAAAATTAAAACAAACATGGAAAACAAAGAGTTGATTTGTAACAGCCAACATGGCTTTACGAAGGGCAAACAATGCCTGTTAAATTAGATTATCTTCTCTGATGGGGCTGCAGCATTGATGGATGTGGCAGAACAACTGCCATTGTCTGCCTGGACTTAGGCAAAGCATTTGTCACTGTCTCACACGATATCCTTGTCTCCAAACTAGATAGACATAGATTTGATGGATGGATTGCTTGGTGGACAAAGAACTGGCTGGAAGGGCACATGCAAACAATTGTGGCCAGCAGCTCCTTGTCCACATGAAAACTGAGTGGTCTCCCTCCAGGGTCAGTACTGGCACCGCTGCCGTTCAAGATCTTTGTTATTGGCATGTACAGTGGGATCAAGGGCACCTTCAGCAGGTTTGGCAGCAACACCAAGCTCTGTGGAGCAGCAAACACACTGTCAGGCAGCAATGCCATCTAGAGAGGCCTGGTTCTGTGCAAACCCCATGAATTTCAACAAGGGAAACTGCAGGGTCCTGTGCCTGGGTTGTGGCAATCCCAGACACAGCTACAGGCTGAGTGGAGACTGACAGCAGCCCTGAGGAGAAGGACTCAGGGGTGATGGTTGATGAAAAACTTGACATGACCCAGCCATGGGCACTGCCAGCCCAGAAAGGCAGTGGGATCCTGGGCTGAATCCAGAGCAGTGTGGGCAGCAGGGGAGGGAGGGGATTCTGCCCCTCTGCTCTGCTCTGCTCTGCTCTGCTCTGCTCTGCTCTGCTCTGCTCTGCTCTGGTGAGAACCCACCTGGAACTCTGTATCCAGCTCTGGGGTCCTCAGCAAAAGAAGGACATGGAACCATTGCAGCAAGTCCAAAAGAGGCTACAACACTGATAAGAGGACTGGAGAACCTCCCCTGTGATGACAGACTGAGAAAGACAGACTGGGTCTGTTCATCTTGCAGTAGAGAAGCTGCATAGAGACCTCATGGCAACTTGCAAGGATCTGAAGGGAAGCTGGAGAGGGACTCTTGGTCAGGAATTATAATGACAAGAATAACAGACACAAACTGAAGAAAGGATGCATTTAGGTTAGGTATTGGAGGAAATTCTTTATAGTGAGTGTGGTAAAATACCGGAAGAGGTTGCCCAGGCAGGTTGTGATGCCCCAAACCTGGCACTTTTCAAAGCCAGGTTGCATAAGACCTTGGGCAAGCTGGTCTAGTGGGAGGTGTTCTTGCCCATGACAGGATGATTAGGACTAGAAGATCTTTGAAATCCTTTCCATTCCCTTAACATTCTATGCTTCTATGATTAAGGAATCCTTTGGGCCCTCTAGTCTGCATCAACTGAAAGCAGATTCGTTTTGGCACCACCAAGTTCACACTCTTCTCATTTCCTTCTTGATGAAGGCAGATAGTACAAAGCAGTGGATTCACAGTCTTTACAAAACATCAGAGGACATGTCTGACACATAAGAGACCAGAGCTCAGCACACCATTCTGGCATAAGCACACCAAGGAGCATGAAATGGTGGTCTTAGTGGGTTTTACAGACAAGTATGGAGGTCTACATGAAGGGAAGGAAACTGAGAAATTGAATTGCATCTCTCTCATGAGCAGAGTTGAGCTTTGCACACAAGTAACAAGGGAGTGGGAGTCAGGCCTTGGCCTTCCAGCTGCCCAGATCCTGTATTAGGCTGGTAGCATTATGGGGAATTTCAAAGGAGCTCCAACGAGATATGTCACTGAAACTATGTGCACATTCAAACTGTCTTACAAGACAAATCTTGGAAACCCCAAGTTGAGCTCTCAGAAAAAGCTCTCAGGGCTATGACTACTCAGCTTCCTGTAAAGATGACAAATTAAAAAAAAAAAAAAAAAAACAAAACCAAAAAACAATCAGCTTCACTCTGATTAATGAAGATCTGTTTCTTTATTTTTAGAGCAAGCAACATCTCATCTATATTCTAAGGCAGGCAGTCTGCAGTGTCCTAATCACTCATGGCTTTGCTGGCCCACATTTCTCATTGTTTGGAACAATTTTCCCTCATTACATGTTTATGACCATCTTGGACAAAACCAAAACTCAAACCACTCTGTTTATACACAGAACCTAGAAGGAATATCTGACTGATTTTTATGGCTACTTCAAAAGAGAAGAAATGCATCAGTCTTCTGTAAAAAAAGTGCAGACTGGTTTGGGCTAAAATTCAGGAAAGTAACAGAAAACCACAGACCACCAAGCAGAAACCTGCCTTTAATCAATGAAACTTCCCCAGAGCTGTGTTCCTTTTTCACAGGAGGTGGTCTGGAAGGAGGCATATTTCAGCATGGGTGCAGTTTTCAAGCTAGCCCATCACTGTATGTACACTTATTTGATAGCAAATAGAGAGTAGTTCGTGAAGAAGGGGAAATGTAGTTGTGGACTAGAACATCGAGAGAGTAGATGGAAAACAAAGACAATTTGTCTTATTCACTGCAAGGAAAATTAGAGTGATCACATGTTAAAATTTATATGAGGGAATCTGTTGCAGAATGGACCCTGGTTATCAATGTCTTTCAAAATCATTGTGGCATCACATATTGTCACACTTTATCACCTCTGAACTGTCATCACCCTTCAGCTCTCCTTCTCAGCTGCTTCACATCATCCACTCTTTAACTCCAACTTGCAGAGTGATGATATCTCATTATCTCTCTCCAGCAACCTGATTTAACCTGCTTCAAGGTCTTCTGCCCCTGATTCCCTTTTCCACCATTTCTTTTCACTGTTTTTGTTCCTTAACTAAGTCACAGAGTGGGCAGCACCCCACACCTGTAGATTCGAGTGCCATGCTGCCTGCAGCCTTCCTTTCTGAACCCACATCCACACCATGCTGGAGCTCAGCACTGCTTCAAGTAGCAGATGTCCTTCATCCTGCATGGTAAGACATTTATTCTGATAGATATGGCCTCAGACATATCCATGTACCAAACCTCCTTTACAACACTTCCTGCAGGCAATTCTTCTAGAGACCATTGGAAAAGGCACACAGATTCAAAAGTTCATCCGTCTTCCCCCCAAGGCCAATTTCCCATCACAGCAGCTAAGGGAGAGTCAGCAAGCACCTTAATTGTGTCTGTGATTTTACAATCTATAACTACATTCTAAAAGCAGGAACAACAGTTAAAGACCAAAGTGAGTCAGAGGGAGCTTGACTGAACTTGTGGTACTATTTGTAAACTGTCCTTTGCAATACTGCCTGCTTGGGGCACCTGTTTTTCCCTCCCTGCCTGGGAGGCACCAGGGAGAAGGAACCTTTCTATCTCCAGCTAGGGGCATCCACCCCATTTGCTCTGCAGATGGAAAGTACACCTCAGGCAGCTCTGCCTGCTACAGGAAAATGAGCATGATTACCCTGCATCCTTATTGATTCCTACACTCAGATACCTACAACATATCTCACAAGGAACTTTCTGTTTAGCCAGAGCACAGGAAGCAGCAGGCTGTGCTTCTGCAGTGAAATGTCACGTTGGAGGGAAAGGAGATGACTGCAGACTACCTCCTGCTTGTATTTTAGGACCTCTCAACTAATGTGTCTGACACCAGAGCAGTCATTTAAACCCTCTGTCTCAGTACAACCACATGCCTTCTTATCCTGTCTCAATCTTGAGCAGTGAAATAGTCCACAGGTACTGACTGGACTGTGAGCAGCACTACACAGGACAGTAGCTGTGTATGGATTACTGTGTATGTATAACTGTGGATACAGTTCCACATTTACGTGGTCAATGCTGGATTTATTGTCACAGGCTGCTCTGCTATTTACTCCTAGAACAAGCCCAGGATAGCAATCAAGTGAAATCTTCCTTCCAAACCCTAGGACTCCGACACACTCTTGCCACAGGTCCTTTCCTGCACCTTAAATGCTCTTTTCCTTTGAACCCACATTTTCCTTAAAATGTATTTAATATTTTTAAACCTGATTCCGAGTCATCCAGAAATGCTGACAGCAAAGTGCCATCATGTTTAATATCAGGACTCCAGGGAAGATATTCTGTCCAATAGTCCTAATAAGAGGTTTAAGATGCAACTGATGCCAAACTCAGGGCTCTAAAGGCACAAGAGGCTGCATAATGAACTCCCATGATGTGGTCGTGGAACTGGGTGCCCAGCTACTCCAAGTAACCTTGATACCAACCTTCCAGATAGGTGAAAATCTTTATTCAGTTGTCTGCCCTTACAGCTACATCTTTACAGAGCAGTATCAGATCTTGTTTATTCTCAAGTACCTATTAAGCTAGTCTTCTTGAAGCTTTAAGAAGCTGCTGCAGCCTTTTTTAGGAATACCTAAGCTAAAAATTAAAAAACAACATGAAAATATCAGTGCAGGTTATTTTGGGTTTGGGGTTTTTTTTGGTTGGTTGGGGTTTTTTTATCATCCTTGTAAGCACTGATACACTGGATTTTCTAGCACAACTTCAGTGTCACAGAATCATTAAGTCTTACGCTTAAGCACAGGTGCTTCTCTTTGTCACACCATATGCCCGCTGGTAGAAACAGGGTTAGGGGCTGGCATTCATATAATCATGGGCTAAGTCTTGAATCAGTTTTTTTCAGTGCATGTAGAATTAATGATGTATGTCCATGTCAAGAATCATTGCAGAAATATGACCTGCCAGAATTTCAATATCATGTTTTCAGACAACAGCAAAGGTGGTATAAAGAGAAAGATGAAGCAGAGTGTGAGAAAAACAGCTGCTATTAATTTGCAGCATACCTGTAGAGTCCTTGACACAGACCAAGACTCAACACTGCACCCTCTGCACAAATCCTATCAAAAGTCAGCAGTCCTGTCTGAGAGTCCCATATCAGAAATGGGGAGGAGGGACAGAGATGTAAACAGGGACACTATGCCCAGGACAGAAGATAAAAGTGAAACAGTAGCATAATTGGGACCAGCTTCCAATTTTCTCCTTTGTGGTTTTTCAGGGGTGAAGAGTAAATATATCTGGCAGCCACATATTTGGTAAGAGTCTGGAGAAGGGGAATGCAAAGATTACAGACTCTAAACTGGTAGCAAGAATTCCAGGAAGAGGTGAGTCAAAGCACAAGTAATTCTTGGTAGAGAGTGGAGGAGGAGATAATCTGGCATTCTGTAGTTACTGAAACCATGGAGGTCGATGAAAGCATCCAGTGAGAGATAAAAAGAAACAGGAAGGGTATATGCCAAAGGACAGCTGCAGGATGAACCAGCACAACAAGTACCTTAGCTTAAAAATGCTGAAGAAAACAGGGGACATGAGGGCAATCAGTCATAAAAACTGCTTGCAAAGATTCTAGGTGATCAGATTCCAGACTGGGAGAGAGTAGAGAAAGAATGAAAATAGCAGTATGGAAGAAGGGTATTGTTAAAAGGCAGGGCAGTCAAACACATAAAGGAGAGGAAAGAGAAACCTGGGCACCTATATGGTACAAGACAGCATCCAGATCTAATGAACCAAGCATGCATACTCTGCAGCTGTTAATTTAAGGGTTAAAAAACTACAAGGGTGGGAAAAAAATGCCACATTAACAACAACAACAACAAAACAAAAGCAATACAAAAATCCCAACAAACAAACAAACAAACAAAAAAACACACAAAAAAAAAGCAAACCCAGCAACAATTAATCAAAAAACCAAAGAGCCCCAACCCCAACAACAAAACCCAGAAAACAAACAAAACAAAACAAAAATAAAACAAAAAAAAAATCCCCTTTCCAAACTAGCTCATGGAAGAGAAAAGCAACTGCTGGGAAGGAGAGAAAAAGCCTAGCTTCCTCTTAGTTATAATTCCAGCTACCATTCCTACTTCATAGTGTTTACAAACCCAGCCCCCCAATGGCTGCTCAGCTAGGTAAAATATGCATTACTTGTTGATGGCTTGTCCAGCTGGGGTGTGTTCTACCTCGTACCCTTCTCTCCTCAAAACATCAATCACTGTGTTGTTGCCCATGAAGTGACCTGCAGTTAAAAGAAAAATGACATCAGAACTCACCAACCACATGGAAAGAGGAGGAAGAACAACAAAGTCCTTCCTCATCACAGGGGGTGTGCCACACTCAAGGCAGGCAGGGCTTTATCACTCCCCATCAACATGCACCAGAAACACAAGTTCTCTAATGAGTGATTGCTGAACTTTCCCAAGGTCACTCCAATTAATACATTCTGCCTTTCTAAAATGCAGATGTGATTGCAATTACTCTGGTCCCACAGGCTGTTGCATAATGGGCTGCCCAGGGAGGTGGTGGAGTCACCATCCCTGGAAGTGTTTAAGGAAAGACTGAACGTGTCGCTTAGAGCCATTGTCTAGTTGACATAGTGGTGATTGGTCAAAGGTTGGACTTTATAATCTCAGACGTCTTTTTCGACCTGACTCTGTGATTATCAGGCCATTGTGGATTACTTGAGGGAATAAGAGATGAAGTTTGGACACCCCTGTTCAAGAGCAGGAGTGAGCAGTGAGGTGGTGATGCAAAGAAGGTCCGAATCCGGCCACATTTTAACACTCTCCACTCTTAAAGCCAATAGCTTAGATCACCAAACAGATCAACTTCTTCATTATATGCCACTGGGGCCAGAAACTTGACCTCAGCCATGCTGATGAAAGGACTTAGTTTTAGAAGGACTTGGGTAGTTCTGCCCGAATTCTGTGATTTACATCTGTACTCTATTCTCAGACAGCTGTGGTGGCTGGTAAGATTGTATTTTGGCCTCATAGTGAATAAATGACTACTCAAAGACTGCAGGAGCTTTCCTGACTGTATGCTCTGCTCACAGAATATCTTCCACCATCAGACCAGGCTGCTGAGAAGCAGAAGAAAGAGAGAAAAAAGAGAGAGCAAAGGCCTTGCGCAATCCCTCATAGATCCAGCTTTTATAAAACATTTCTTCTTTTAACAGCCTACATAAATTAAAATTGTCATTTGTAAAATTACTCATTAGAGTGATTCCTTGCTTCTGTAGGTATACACGGTGCTAAAACTGATAAGTAACTCCAGAACTGTTTTCTGATAATACTGTTCATAAATACATGGAAATAGAACCAACAGAATGATTCTATTTGCCAGGGAAAGCAAAAAGTTATAAAGAGTACTGGGAATATCAGCACCCAAAAGTGCTGAGAGTATCAGGAGACAAAACATAAGACAAAACATGAGTTTTCATTCCAAAAGGAGTTGAATGGAGTACAAAACTTCCAGTTTCTCGTGCCACAAAAGCAAACTGCTTATGATGTACCAGCTTAAGGCACGAGTCAGATGGAGCCATTTGAGCACAAGATGAGCTTTCCCCCAGAGCCTAAAAGCATAACCAATCTAGCTGTCAAATGAAACCTTTTAACTGAACACTGCAATGCACACCCATTGGGTACCATATTTTCTCACACAGGAATTGGATTTTGCCCCACCTCCTCAGATTTTGTCTTCAGAAGAAGCAAAGCTTAGGTACCATTTTGTTGATAATACTGAAAGTATCTGTTGCTTCCCAATGGCTCAACTCCAGGTACAATTAACCAAGAATTCCATCATATCAGCAAAAAAAGACCAATTGCAGCAGGGAATAGGAATGACTGTAATGAAATATTGTAATTGAGTAAAATTAGCTACTGCAAAGCAAACACTAGGTTATATAAGATACCAGATCTAGTCCACCTCTGACCATTAACACAGAGGAGAGGTATGTGCAAAGGAAAGGGGAGCGGGATTAATTCCTCCTTCTCTAGGAGCAGAGCAGAGGAAGGGGTGCTTCCAAAGGGTGATACATTCCTTGCAAATGTCAGGGAGATAGGACAACTTGGGCTCGTAGAGAAGTGCCTCTCAACTGACAAGCACAGGGGCAGAGTATATTCCATGCTCAGATGAGGTATTCACCTCATGCAGGCAACGATGCATGAGGCAAATCTTCAGAAGTGAAAAGCAGTGCCAAGTCTCTGAACTCATATTTTCCTTATCCAAGTCTTTCATGAGGAAAGGGACAAGACATAAAAATAAGCAATCTATGGAGCAATATATGGTCTTAAAATAATTTTCCTCAAACCAGATTAAGAGCTTAGAGTTACATGAATTTCATGTGTGAGTGAGCTACTGAATAGCTGCTCACACCAGACCATTAAACATACTACTCCTCCATCAATCTTCAGTCATCCTTGCTTAGAGCAGTGATTTAGAGTGGAATGTAGGAAATCACTACAGGAAATCACTGTAGCACATGGATGAATCCCATTTCAATCAGCCAACCTGCTTGAGTGATTTTCTGTAGCTGGGCACTTTAATTTAATAGAATGCAGTGATAAGAATATATTTTTTTATCACAGTTGTCTGTACATATTTTCACGGAGTGCATTTGCTCATTGTTGCCAAGGCAATGAGTTATGTCTGCATGTGAGAGAAAAATGATGTGCTAATATTATGCAAAAGAGAATAGAACAAATGAATAAATATGTGCAAAACAGAGGCCTACAGATACAAACAGGCATGGGATATTAGATTGTTCACAAGACATGATCAGTCAGGAGCCACTCAGGTTAAGAACGTAAAGGGTTAGGTGATGCAGTATTCACTATCCAAAAGGTGGGCTATTCGCTCTTCATTAAGCAGAGCTTGTTGGTGGCCCACAGGTTCAACTGAGTGAGATGCAAAATTTAAAAAGTAGCAGCAGGGTGGGGGTTTGAGGTACAGGACCCGGCCAAGAGCCTCTCTAGAGTCAGAACTTTTGATTCACTACTGGGGACCACCATGAAAAGCACTCAGTGGTGTATGAGAGATCAGATTGCCAAAAACAACGGTAAAAAACACAAGAAATAATCACTTCCCAAGGTTTAAGATGAAGCAACTATTGCTGGAAGGGAAACAGACGATAAGTCACGTGATGGGGTGCAGGTCTCTTTCACCTGTTCTCTATTTTAGCCTCACACACTTGAATGCTCCCCAAAAGAAAGGCCCTGGGCTCTGTCCTATCAAAAACTCTGCTCTTTTCATTCTGTACATAGCCCTGCATTATCCTCACACCACTAGGTGAAGAGATGCCTCCAAGAGGTCAATTTACTCTGGCAGGGGGTGGGGAGTCATGAATCTTTATTCTTCTGTCTTCAAGCTCAAAAAGAAATTAAGAAGCTGTTGTGTGGACCAGCTCAGCCATGCACTCTACTGGAGAGTAAATAAGACCCAGGCCTTTAATCTGCACTGAAAGGAGATGGCATGCAGGGACCACAACAGGCAATGTGCTCAAAGAACAGCGCAGTGTGCACTTGCAGACTTGACCACACATTGTGTGCTTCTGACCTTCCTCAACAGCCATACCCAATCCTGCAGAACACGGGCTCTGAAACTCTGAAACTCTGAAACTCTGCCCTGAAACCTGTGTCTCCTGCTTGCAGCTTTTACTGTCAGTGCTTGCAGAGCTGCTTCTATAACAGTTTAGTGCCAGTTTAGGGAAGTTTAGATGACTGTGGGTCTCAGCAAAGATTGTTGGACCCAAATTTGAGCCATTGCGAGTCTGAAATATTTCTGCATCTAGCAAAAGGAACTAGGAAGTATTGCTAGACAAATGCTCTGTTCCTGTAATAAATTTTAATTTTTCACCGAAACCAAGTCTGTAAAACTAATGAAAACTATACTCCTCCCTGAATTTCAATAAAATTGACTATTCCATGCAGATAAATAAAGTTCTTTGACCTCTTAGAATCATGTTAATGGAAACCCCCAAGTATACATAATTCTGTGATTTCTTTAGTAGAAAGATGGCACTTCCCATCCACCCCAAAAGCATGTCAAGACCTTACAATTTACAAACATCCCAAGACAGTGAATCCCTTGACATACATGTGAAGACACCAAACTGTTTGTTAGTAAACCTGATCTTGACTGCTGATTTCCAAGCTGTTGTGGGAACAACTAAAGCACAGAATGATAGCACTGCAACCACAAACCAGCACAAATTATTCCAGCAACTGGGGACATCAAAAAGCTGGATAATTGTTTGGAGTGCAAGCACTCAAATGGACTTTTGATGCCAGAGACTTTATGCATCACTAAAACAAATACTTTCAAGAAAATTTCACAATTATAGAACTCAAAATTATTTAGAAATTTAGAAACATATTATTATTTAGAAACATATTATTAAGAAACATAGAAAATGCCCATGGCAATTAAAATCTACATTCGTTCTTCATAACTTTAACATAAACATAGTCATACTTTTTAAGTACACACCAGGATGCAGAACTTGGAGTAAAGTACAATTATGGAGGAAAAAAGCTAAACAAAATATTTATTATGATCCAAAGCAAAAGAAGGAAAGCAGGTGATGTGATCAATTAAATTACAAATCAGTTTCCTTCATCATATGCTTTCTGCACGCACTTTCCGAGAGGAAGACACTGTTTTCAAGCATGAGTATGATACACCAGGTGTACACACTTCACTTCTCCCAGAATCAGGAGGAGGAAATTTTGCACAGCTACATTAGACAATCCAAGCAACATATGGAAAACAGCAATCAGTCATAAGTGGCTGGAATTCCAAATCTGGCATTTAAGTGTATCAAATGCAAAACATGTAATACTAAATCCAGTAAATTATTGCTTTTCACAGTATTTCCAAGTCCAGAAATGTCCAGGTACCAGAACAGAAACCAAAGGACAAAGAATATGGTAGTCTCACAAATTTAATACTGCAGGGAGAAGGAAATGGCAAGGATTGAAAGGGATGAGGTGGCACCAGTGATGCTGTAAGTCAACTTAAAGAATCCTTGAATTCACATTAGGTGTAGGAGTATAGGGATGTTGCATTCAAACACTTCTGCAAGCTTGCAGGACAAATCCCATACAAACAGCCCTCCCATGTCCTCCTGTATTTTTCAGACAGCAGACCTCCAAACAAAATCCTTCCTTTGATTACCTACAAGATGAAATATTAATGAAATACTACTCCACAAACTTCGAAACAAGGTTTTATCCTACT